GGTGTTCGCGCTGCAGCCGCTGGACCACGAGGAGCTGGAGCTGCTGCGGTTCCAGGTGAGCGCGCGGGACTCTGGTGCGCCTCCCCTGGGCAGCACGGTGACTGTGCAGGTGTTCGTGCTGGATGAGAATGACAACGCGCCCGTGCTGCTTCCACCTTGAGGGGTCAGAAAAACTATAAGGTGTTGGAATTAGTGCCAGTGTCAGTGCGCCCGGGCCATATATTGACGAAAGTTTGGGCGGTGGACTTTGACTCTGGCTGTAACACGTGGCTGTCTTATGAACTCTTATCCGGGCCTGCCATTGTGTGCAGCCCGTTCCGCGTGGGGCTGTACACGGGCGAGATCGGCAAGACACACGCTGTGGACAAAGGTGGACAGTCCGGGCCAGTTCCCGCTGGTGCTTGTGAGGGACCATGGGGAGCCGGCACTGAAGGCCATGGCCACCCTGCTGGTGTCTCTGGTGGAGAGTAGCAAAGTGGCTAATGCTTTATCTGTAGCGTCCATGAGCACCGTGGGTGGGAAGATGACACTACTGGGTGTGAACGTGTATCTAATCATTGCTATTGGTGTGGTGTCCAGCCTGTTGGTGCTCATGCTGTTGCTGTACACAGTGCTTCAATGCTCTGCGGCACCCACCAAGGAAGGGAGCATGCCAGCGAAGTGCATGCTGCTGTGCTGGAGCGGTGGGTGCTAGCAACAGAGACGGCAGAGGATGTGCTCTGGGGAGGGTCTGCCTCATGGCCTTCTGACCCAATCTTTTGCAAATTTGAGAGGATTGCTTATCTTCTCCGTGTGAAGTAATTGATATAATTTAAGGGTATTTTTTTTCTCTTAGTAACTTGCTTTTAGGTAATAGTCATGTCCTATTGTTAATTTTCTTTGTAATCTTTATAATGGTATACTTTATAACATCTCTTCTCTGTTTTAGTCGTTCTCATTTTGAATTTTATGTATTACCCAACACGGATGAATTAGGTAGATATAATGGAGATCATAGATCACAGTTTAAAATTCTTTTTGATTTTATCTATGAATGATTGGCCTTGAAGAATAGTATGTTACTTCAAAAACAATTTAGGTGTTTGTTAACTCAAATTAAAAAATGTGATCATAGTTTCAGGATTACAGGCAAATTACAAGGATGGTTAAAAAAATATCTAGGTACCTTTAGCTAGATTCATTGTTTCTCGTGTGCTGGGGCTATTAAAATAGCCTCCTTAAACTGGGTGTGGTGGTGCACACCTGTAATCCCAGCACTTGGGAGGCTGCGGCAGGAGGATCTCTGTGAGTTTGAGACCAGCCTGGGCTACATAGTGAGTTCCAGGTCAGTCTCAACTACATAGTGAGACCCTGTCTCAACAAAACAAAAACAAAAACAAAACAAAAAAATAGCCTCCTTGGTTATCATTTTAACTTCAGTATAATCTAGATATTATAACAATATTATGTTTCAAGTATTATAACAATTATAAAAATGACTTGTTTTTTTATTCTAAGATGAGTAATTTGCCATTTTTCATGTGAAATATCTTTCTTCTTTCATGTGAGATTGACCAGTATACTATAGATAGATAAAATATAATATCATTTAAGTTAGAATGTTTAATGTCACCTAAATCACAATGAATATTGCAATTCATATTGTCATTCAAAATTTATCATAATTTATTTTGCTGTTTTTATTTCTTTCTTGTTGGCACATACATAATAGCCATCCTATGATTAATCTGGTTTTGTTTTTGCAACACTGGAGACTGAACCAGGGAGTTATCCATGCTGTGAAAGGGCTCTATCACTGAGCCACATTCCCAGCCCTAGCATTTTGATGCAATAAAATGTAAAAGGTCTGGGATTTAGCTCAGTGGTGCTGCCTGCCACCTGCCTCACATGCACAAGGTCCTGAGTTTGATCCCCAGTACAGAAAAAAAAGTAAGAGTATTTCTTTCATGGTGCTAGGTGCATGGTGGTAGGAATTGAAACTAGGGCCTCTGGCATGGTAAGCAGGTGCTCCACCACTGAGCCCAACAATATTAATTGATCTGTATTGCCAGGCACTGTTCTAATTGTCTCTTTTATTTAGCAAATGAGCCATATTGCAAAGGTACAATTATTATCCCTAATTTATGGACAAGAAGCCAAAAACTTAAGCTATAGAAATAGTAAGAAGTGGGTTCAAACCTAGTTTTGGAGAATTTCAAACCACTATGGTATATTATGGCTTTGTGCCTTTTATCATGTGAATTTTGCAAAATACATTTTTCATCTTGTAACTTTCTTCTAAAAAATATTTGGAGACTTCTCTTTGACCAGAAAATAGAGCACTACATTCTACTGTTTGATATAAGGGACATTAAATTTTAGCCTTTATATACTCACTCACATTTTGGACCTGGACAAGAAATAATTTTTGAATAAGTATATGTATTGAAATGGATACCAATTCAGTTCCAGCATAGAAGTGGAGTAAATTTAAGAGGTTAGGCAATGTTTTAATCAAGAGTGAGTACAGGTAACATTTCAACAGGAAAACATTACAGATGGAGAGATGAGTATGAATAAGTGAGCCAAGTTTTCTCTGGTGAATGTGTACTTTAAAGGTTAGAGCAGAGGAGATTATAAAGATAAGAAATCTAGGAAAATAATCGTTTATGATAATTTAGGAATCAAGTGATGGCAACTTATGGCAGTAGGAATGGTTTACAGTGTTCATGTACAAGAAGTATTAGCAATGTAGAGGCAGCCAGATGATGCCTGACTCAATGCAAACAAGAGAAAGCTGAAAGCTGAAAATGACACTCATTTATTTAGGTTGGTCAACTGAAGAACAAGACTGCCTTAAGTAAAATGCAGAACAGAGTTGAGAAAACAATTGTGCATGTTTGTGCAGGTTGCAAATTAATATTTAAGAAATTTGAGGTTCTAGGAGATTACTATTGTGATTGAAAATTTATGCTTGTAACTCAGTATGGATTTTGGAGTAATTTCATTATAGAAAATATTTAAATCTTTGAAATAATAAAATCAACAAGATATATGTAAACATGAAAATAACATGTCCAAAAAATTTTGGGTGAGCAGTTGTGTTAGTTTCTGCAACTGCTACAACAAATGACCCAAACTGGGTGGTGTGAGACAACAAATGTTTACTCTCTCCTGGGTTTGGAGGCCAGAAATCCATAATCGAGATATTACTCACTAGGATTCTACCCTTTCTTCAGGCTCTAGGGGAGAATCTGTTCTTTGCTTCTTTCAGTTTCTAATGGTTTGTGTTCCTTGGCTTATGGTTATACCTCTCCAATCTATGGCCACATTGCTTTATCTTCTCCATGTTTTCTTTGTGTGCTTATTTTTTTAAGGGTACCTGTGAGTGCAGTTCAAGTCCACTGGATACTCCAGGATAAGCCCCTCTCAAACTATTTAATTTATTATAAGAAGTGCCATATAAAATAATATTCAGAAGTTCTGAGTCTTATAATGTGGGTTTATCTTTTGAGGGGCCACAATTTAATCAACTGCAGTAAGTTTAAAATCATCGGGAGGACAGACAGTGAGTAGCTGAAATGAAAGGCAAAATGCATTGTAAGTAAATTTGTGCAAATTTAAGTAAATTTGAGAAGTTAGAAGTAAAAAGAAGACAGTAAACAGAGCAGTTATATACAGGTAAATATGTATTTTATCTATGTAAAGAGATATAGAGACATTAGAGATAATTAAGTGTCTGTTGTTTGATGGAAAGAGAGACATACTAAAGATAAGACAGACCACAAAACAATGAAAAGAAAGATGAAAGATACTAAGGAGAGGAGAATAAAAAAATAACTTTTTCCAGAGTATAGGGTTGACCTTAAATGTGGAGATAGTTTTCCTTTATACTAATAGTGAATAAAATTAGAAAATATAAAGGAAAGCATTGATATAAGAAGTGAGAAATTAAATTCATGTTTTATGACTTTTCCCTCTGTGGGAAAATCATTTGCAAGTCAGCTGGTGGAAATGAGGTGGTGAATTTGAGAAGAGAGGGAAGAGAATATGCAAGAATTTCTGTAGCCAAGAAGGAAGAATTTATGAATTCAGTTAAGGGTCCAGTTTAGGTAAATGTGAGAGTATACTTGCAGAGTATGTAGCCTTCATGGTTAAGTAACTACATTATCAAGATCAATAGGAAGAATAGAAAATATTAGTGGTGTGTTGGAGGATAATGAGTATATTATAGGAGTAAGATAAATGAGTGATTCTAGGGTGTCTGGAAAGGCATGTTTTAAGGAGTTGAATAATTCTAGTGAAATAGTAATTGCACAACATAGCTACTGATAGACAAGAAGCCTGAAAAAGAATGAGGACTATTCCCATTCTAAAAGTAAAATGTTAGTAGAAGTAGTGGGGCTGGACAAAGTGGTAAGAATACTAAGTTACACAAATTTCAGAGGGGAGCAGAGGCACAAAAATGAACTGAACTGTCATTTCCTATAGAAGTGTGCACAGAATAGACATGATAGTATATTTTTATTGTTCATTTGACCTGGATCTTTGTGACTTGATAGTGATAGCAATAGATAAAAAGCCCCTTCTTTTCCTTGACAAAGATGTGTTAACATCGTTTTCTAGTTCTTCTTGGAAAATACGTGGAAAATTAGAATCAACTTAAATGATAAAAAGGTTTTCCCTAATGAAGATGAAGTAAAATGGAGAAAGAAAAGACATTTAACCTATTGGTAACAGTTCAAATAGTAATAAGTGCATAGAATTCTAGTGCATGGCATGTTTACTACAAAGATAACTCTAAACTTCAAAGCATTTCTCTGTCTAAACAGTCCCACAAGCTCATGTGCAATTGCTTATGTTCCTTACAAATATAAATACTTTATCCACACTTCATAGTCACATTCAGAGGAATTTATACATATTGTGTATTTCTTCAAAATATGGCAATCCTTACCAATATCTTACACCTTCATCTGTTTTATTCTTACGTGATGGTTGGGGTTCCACATGGAATTAATGGCTATTGTGTACGAAGGTCTTGAAAAATATTTCCAGAAATGACACTACAACCAGAGCTTACACAGCTGTGAGAACTAGAGTCCCATCGATCTAAAACCAGTATATAAAATTTCCCCTCTTTAAAAAACCTGCATGGAAATTTTACACATGTAAAAATAAATTTGTGGAAAAATGGAACACATTGCCAAATAACATCAATTGCTGAGAAGAACACAGTGATTTACCATTTCTGGGAAGGCGAACATTTAACCTCAATTACACATTTGCAGTGAAAATTCAGGAAATGCGAAGAAAAAGACATCAATGGAAAAAATGTAGACTGAGTCATTCTGACACTTACCCATTTATGCGCATGGTGTCGCTCTTCACTGAGAACGTTTCTGCCAAGAAAGCCACAGTTTTTTCCTCCAGAAAATTTGCCAGATCAGACAATATCCGTTTCGAATTCTTCCGCAGTAGGAGGCCATAAAATTGGCCCTTGAGAGGCAGTTTAAGGTAAGGTATTCTATATTTTGTGGATATCTCTGAAGATTTTGCGTTTGCCATGTTGTTTACCTGGAAAGAAGGCCTGGGCTACAGGCATCTGCTACTCTCGCTTGTGCTCCTCGCAGTCTGGGGGACCGGTAGCGGCCAGCTCCACTACTCCGTCCCCGAGGAGGCCAAACACGGCACCTTCGTGGGCCGCATCGCGCAGGACCTGGGGCTGGAGCTGGCGGAGCTGGTGCCGCGCCTGTTCCGGGTGGCGTCCAAGGAGCGCGGGGACCTTCTGGAGGTAAATCTGCAGAATGGCATTTTGTTTGTGAATTCTCGGGTCGACCGGGAGGAGCTGTGTGGGCGGAGCGCGGAGTGCAGCATCCACCTGGAGGTGATCGTGGACAGACCGCTGCAGGTTTTCCACGTGGAGGTGGAGGTGAAGGACATTAACGACAACCCGCCAGTGTTTCCTGAAAGTAACAAAAGTATAATTATCGCGGAATCTCGACCTCTGGAAACTAGATTTCCACTAGATGGCGCATCAGATGCAGATATTGGTGTAAACTCGGCATTGACCTACCGCTTGGATCCCAGCGATTATTTCACTTTGGACACACAAAATAGTCGTGAACAAATGTCTCTATTATCACTTGTGTTAAGGAAAACCTTAGACAGAGAGGAGATTCAGGAACATAGTTTATTACTGACAGCCAGTGATGGAGGTAAACCTGCGCTGACCGGTACAGTTCAGCTGCTGATTAGGATTCTGGATGTGAATGACAATGCACCAGAATTTGACCAATTTGTTTATAAAGTTAAAGTATTAGAGAACGCGCTTAACGGAACACTGGTGATCAAACTAAATGCCACAGACCCCGACGATGGTCCAAATGCAGACATAGTCTACTCCTTCAGAAGGCCCATATCTCCTGCAGTGGTACATGCATTTAATATAAATCCCAAGAGTGGAGAAATCAGGATAAAAGATAAACTGGATTTCGAAGAAAATAAATTTTATGAAATATCCGTGGAGGCAGTTGACAGAGGGAATATCCCAATGACGGGTCATTGTACCCTTTTGGTGGAAGTAGTAGATATAAACGATAATGCCCCGGAGGTAAGCATTACATCTCTGTCGCTGCCTGTGAGAGAGGACACTCAACCTAGTGCTGTCATCGCCCTGCTTAGCGTGTCTGACCTTGACTCTGGTGTCAACGGAAAAGTGACCTGTTCCCTTACGCCCCACGTCCCCTTCAAACTGGTGTCCACCTTCAAGAACTACTATTCGCTGGTTCTGGACAGCACTTTGGACCGCGAGAGCACATCTAGCTATGAACTGGTAGTAACCGCAAGAGATGGTGGTTCGCCCTCGCTGTGGGCCACGGCCACCGTGTCCGTGGAGGTGGCCGACGTGAACGACAACGCGCCGGTGTTCGCGCAGGCCGAGTACACGGTGTTCGTGAAGGAGAACAACCCGCCGGGCTCCCCCATCTTGACGGTGTGCGCGCGCGACGCGGACGCGCAGGAGAACGCGCGCGTGTCCTACTCGCTGGTGGAGCGGCGGGTGGGCGAGCGCGCGCTGTCGAGCTACGTGTCTGTGCACGCGGAGAGCGGCA